AAAGTCCTGTCGCGAACCATGAACCCCAAGATTCAGACTCTTGCATCCGAAGCACTTATGGACAGAATAATGTATCAGTGTCTACTGCTTCGGGTTCACGAGTCTGAATCGTGGTTCGCGACAGGACTTTTTTGGGTGACTGTACCGATACCAAGATTTTTGCACCAACATTCAAGAATTTTTGGCTCAATATTTATGGTAAAAATTTAATTTTGCTGTGTACAAAGCACAAAGACACTTGGTTTATGTGTCATATGAACAGTTTTTCATTGTGTCAAATAACTGGTGGTTATTCTGCCAGATATTGGTCAAATAACTGGTGGTTATTCAGCCAGATATTGGTCAAATAACCAGTGGTTATTCAGCCAGATATTGGTCAAATAAGCCCAGTCTACAATATGATAAGTGTTGTGTATTATATAGTTATTGGTTATATTTCCAGGAAGCTACAATGACCAACAACACTGCTGATGTATATGATGCCACTGATGAAACACTGCTGACCTGAGGGACAGACTCATATATGATGCCACTGATGAAGCACTGCTGACATGTTGGAGGTGAGACTTACTTACTGTTAGTTCACATCATGTTGTTCTTATTAGGTGTACAGCTGAGTCTACTACAGGTTGGGTTTCTCTTATCTGAAATTACCAAATCCGAAATGCTCTGAAATCTGAGTCTTATTTCATTATTTTTATGATAGATAATTCTGTACACTAAATATGGTATACATGTATATACTCGTGCATAGTTTGAGTTTTTAAGATCAAATTTTTACGTAATAGTTTCGTCAGGTTGAGTCCGTGCATGATGGGAAGGGCGAGGAGCAACTTTTAGCCTTAGACGTGAAAAGTATTTACCATTTACTGCCAGTAAACAATGGAAATGTAAAATATGTACCAATTAGTAATGAACAGCTGTGCAGTGCCTTCAGCAGATGAAGCTCACCAACTTACAATATATATCCATATGCTATAAATGAAATATAAATGAATTTTGTGCATAGACTTGGGCCCCATCCCTGTTGGGTGAGCTACCCCCATTATACAGGTTCTGTATACAGGTGTTTCAAAAAATATCCCAAATCCGAGACCCCTAAAGCCCCAAGCATTTAGGATAAAGGATACCCAACCTGTACTTGTGTTTACATGCAGTTGTGTACAGTACTGTACTACAGTATTTAAAACATCAAATACACTCTACCCATTAGTTTTAATTCACATTTAAATACAGTACATTATTTCAAGAATATGGAGCAGCTTTATTATTTAAGTGTATTACCCTTATCTTGTGTTTGGGCACATGAGGTCATGATGTAGATTTGGTTCAAATTAATCAGAGGCACTGTACTGTACTGTACTGTACTGTACTGTACTGTACTGTACTGTACTGTACTGTACTGTACTGTACTGTTTTAAATACTGATTATGGATCTGGATTTGGAATGCAAAAATATCACAAATTAGCATTAATTATGACCCTTGAATTAATTAAACAAATTTACAGTAGTGTATTTATCTAAAAGTGGACATTTATGTAAATGTGTTTGTGTGCATTTATATTTATTTAAGAAAGTTTGTTTGTATGGTACATGTATTTGTTTAAATGTGTGTGTGTATGTTTTGTATAAATGTTTGACTGTTTTAGTGTAAAGGTGTTTGTGTTGTCATGTAAAACCATACAAGCAGTTGTGTAACACAAGGTGTGACACAACAAATCTGAAGATTAGTTATTGCTGAAACTTGTCTCAAAATTACTTAATTTGGATGATAAATAAATAATTACTTTATTTGCCTTAATGGCCACCCACTAGAGGTGGTCAGGGTGAGGAAAGGAGGCCAGTGGTCTATGTAGGATCCTTCCATTGTTCTTGATAGTCTTGTCTTGGGCTATTTTTTTTGTATGATAAGTTGCCAAGCATAGTCATGTCCCATTATTTTGGTGGTGCGTGGCATGGCCCAGGTTCATGTTTTCCATCTTTTCAAGAGTTTGAATGTCTATGAGTTGTGCCTTGTTGTGTCTTGTCAGAAGGGTTGTTAACCCCAAGGCCCTCAATTTATTTGGATAATCAAGATGACATAAATCAAGAATCATCTTAGTCACTGTGTTGAACCTTTCTAAGGATGTTAGGGTTGTCTGGAGGGAGGGTTTCCATGCCTGTACAGTGTACAGTAATCCAGACTGGGATGTACGTGATATTTGTACAATTGAAGGATCATTGTCATATCTTTGTGTTTGAAGGTATGCTTTATAATTCCCAATTCTTGGTTGGCTTTTGTCCTGTTGCCCCCACTTAGAGCACTGCCTTCAGTGATTGATCTATCACAATACCAAGATCTTTCACTTTATTGAAAGTATCCAGGAATGTGTTATTAACAGAATAGTGGGGATTTGGGTTGTTGTATCCTACACACAGTCTTACATTTTGCATTGTTAAAAATCTTTACCAGACTCAAGACCGTTTGAGCAGCTTTTGAAGATCTTTTTGCATGGCTGCAAATCGTCATGACTGTCACCTTCCCAAATATTTCTGTCATCTGCAAACTTGACAATATGGCTCTATATATTTTCATCTATATCATTTATGTACAGTAAAACCTCTCTAAGGCAGACTAATTGAGGAAGGGATAAGAGGTTGTCCTCCTTAAGAGTCAATTTTTCCCAAAAGACGCCATTTTAAACAAAAAACAGTACGACACCAACGTCTCCAATTTTCATGAAGGAAATACTGTACATGTTTTCTAATCAAAATTAATTTTAAAAAGTAATGTACACAAAGTACTGTACACTTACTTTTAGTTCACTGATACGGCCATCGGCTTAACCTCACCGCCCTTATGGGTACTAAACACTTTCTTAGAGGCTGTGTTTATTGTTTCATTTTTCAATAATACAGTAATGCAAAAAATATGACCGGTGCTTCAGTCTACGGTGATTATGTATAAAAACTTTAATGATATAAAAAATACAGTACTGTATTTTCGGAAATAACTTTTGTATATTCGTCCTGTAAACATATTTTTCTTATATATACTGTACCAGGAAATGTGAGGAATAATACCAACAAAACTTACTGTATTGTATTGTCAAAAAAGTAAATAAAAGCCAAATGAAGGTTTAAAACACAGCCTCCATTTGCATACACTCCCTGTTTCACCATAGTAACGAAGATGAGCTGGGACGCTGATTCCCTAGCAACGCGTCCCCCAACACACACATACACACTGAGTATTTTCCCCTCACTCAGCTAACTCGTATAGAAAGAACTGTCAATTCCATTTGTGTGTTTGCCCTTAGGACAATTATTTCTTTTACTTTTTTCACATTATGTATGTAGGATGGTGTGTGCGTGTAGTAGAGTAAAAATAAATGAGGAAAGTTACTTATATCTACCCGAAAATACAAGTTGAAAAACAACCATGTAACACCTCACAGCTTGGCCCAGTAGCCTGGTGGTTACAGTGATGAGTCTAACCTGGCTACAATGCCAGGTTACAGACGACACTAACTAGTCACTCACTTGCTCCCTGGCTCCCGTTGCCAGGCTTATTATTGAAATACAGTACGTATAGGAGAAATACATACAGTATCTTGTAGTATAATTTGAAAACAGTGATGGGCACAGTGATAAACAAATTATATAAACCACATATTTACCTATGATAACATAATAAGAAACATTGTAACATAATAAGAAACATTGTAACATAATAAGAAACATTATATCATTACTAGAGTGAGTGAAATAATATTCCCCAAAACAACAGTTGATAACTCTTAGGCACCTATGTCCCTCTTGCTGATGTCTTGTTTATTTTAATTTTTTAATTCTTTCGGGGCAAATAATTTTGTCCAGCTTAAGCAATATCCGCCTCAATTGGGTCCACCTTAACGAGGTTTTACTGTATATCTCAAACAGGATGGATTCAAGGGTAGATCCTTGTGCTACACCACTGAGAACCTTCTTCCATTCTGATTGTACACCATTTATGACCACCCTTTGTGTCCTGTGTTTGAATCAGTTGTTAATCCACTTCAAAATTGTGTTTGTGATGCCATGTGGTTGGATTTTAGAGACTACCTGTGAATGTGGGATTTTGTCAAGTGCCCTAGAGAAATCCACGTACACTAGCAGTCAAAAGTTTGCTCTATCCCAAATGAGATAAAATAGCACACCCACATCAGACGATAGTCAGGGTAAGTCAGTTCAGAGACTGTTTCACCATGGGAGCAAAATTATGACCTCAACTGTACAACACGTCCACTGGTAAGCCTTGATCCATGTAGTCTGTTACCATTTCAAGGAAAATGAGTAAATGTGTTAAACAGGATATTCTCTCCATGAAATTGTGTGATGCATTGATCAGTCAGGTGTTGGAAGATAAACAACGATAAGTGCCACCCCCAGCAGACCTTCTGAATGATGTAAGAAAAGTGTTCCCTCTGTCCCTTCAAACATTTCTGAAAGATGTCATCATACAAGGGAAAGAGAGTAGGGATATAGAACAACTGATGGCATAAGATGTCTCAGATATATGCAGTTACTGTCAAGGAACAGCATGTACCAACAGTATGTCCTACAACATGACTTTCCAAGACGATGATCTTGATGAACATGACATAGATGATGATCTCTATTCTTGACACTGACAGTGACAATGATGAGACCCGTCACAGTTTGGTTGTGGAACATTCTGTGATACTCCTGAGAATGAAGGCACATTTGATACTGACCTTAATTATCACAACGGCACTGAATTTGCCTCACAAATGTCATGTGTAGCTATACCAGTACTGAACAAGTTGCAAAGAGAATGAAACTGCCATAAAACACTAATCCTGGGATAAACCAACAGGGGATACTTCACTAATAAAATGTGCCACATACTGTACCTCATGGGTGGAGTGAAAAACAGTACCAGACGAAGTAAATATAGCGAGGGGTGTGGCCAGTAGTGAACATTTGTATTTTCTTGGAGTCTTAATTGGAAACAATAGCTGAATATACCAAAAGGTGCAGAATTTTATGCTCTTTTATTTTGTTATAAAGTGTCATCTCTCAAAATGAACGGTCAATGAGTAAAACATTAAAAACTGCAACTGGCCGCCATTTTCTTCAGGATGGCAACAAATGCTCACCTCGGGATGTTTGGCATGTTGTTTATAAACGTATTCTCACTATTTCTACCAAGTATCATTTCATTATGAATTAGTTCAGCTTTTTTCCTAATTTCCCCGGACTGTATTATGACTGCTCGGTTAAGTAAGGTTTGTTGGTGTTTTAACCCCACATTTTCCCTCATCTTCAAACCCTGCCCAGTCAGTGTCCACTTTGGAAGAAATCACTGTTGTTGCTAGTGTACCATAGATGTTGGCAGACAACTAACACCAGAAGGAGTTGTTTGAGTTAGTTCATTGTTTCCACAGATGTTCTTTGGATGATAAGTATGATACAACAATGTATAGAACCTAACCTAACCAACCTTACCTAACTTCCTAGCTGGGGCAGAGAAAGAATTAACTTGACATCTGCTACCATGAAAGCAACTATCTTGAAGTGGCACATGAGAGTACGATTGGTTGTTGCAGTGAAACACAGTGTACAGTATTTCTTCTTCACTGTCTTGCCAACTTTTCCTACACAAGCAATAGATAACTTGTGATATGGTACTGAACACAACACGGTAAGGGCGGCATTGAAAAACAGGGGATTCTTAGGAATTTTATTTTTCCAATCAATAATTTAGACAAACCTAAGACGCTTCTCTTCTACGACGTTTCCCTCACAAACGTCTTATAAAATTATGACGTCTTAGGCTTGTCTAACTATTGACCGCAAAGATAAACTCCTAAGATCCCCTGTTGTCTGAAAGCAATAATTTACCAATTAAACTCTACCTTATAATGTGATGGACAACTGAAATAAATGAATCTCTACCTTATAATGTGATGGACAACTGAAATAAATGAAACTCTACCTTATAATGTGATGGACAACTGAAATAAATGAATCTCTACCTTATAATGTGATGGACAACTGAAATAAATGAAACTCTACCTTATAATGTGATGGACAACTGAAATAAATGAAACTCTACCTTATAATGTGATGGACAACTGAAATAAATGAAACTCTACCTTATAATGTGATGGACAACTGAAATAAATGAAACTCTACCTTATAATGTGATGGACAACTGAAATAAATGAATCTCTACCTTATAATGTGAAATATGGCTGCAGCTTATCATTAAGTTTTGATATAAAAGATACCTGTGCCTGGCGACCCAACACAATAGACTAAATTAACCATTAATTACACTTTAGCTCAGGTTAATAATATACCAACACTACTCGGTATTATTAACGTTATTTATATGACAATAATATTATTAATAAATGTCTTACCGACGGCTCAGGAGGTTATTTCCTGGACTGTCAAGTCGTAGCAGGATTTTTTAATGCTAGGTGCGATTGTATTTTTTAAAACTCAATCTCCACTGAGTTGGAGGTACAGCCCAGGTCAAGAGGCCTACAACCACAAAACCTTTGTCATAAGAAGAAACAATTTTTTTTTTTTTACGGAGTTGTGGTCACTGCTGTGATTAGCCACCCAAAGGTCAACCAGGGAGTGTAGTACTGTGCCTTTAGTTAAATCAGTTGATAGTGTCATCAGTGACTGCGGAAGAGGTTGTAAATACCTAGAGTGAATACAAATTGGCAAGCAAGCTGTTAAGGCACCACTGCCACAGAGACTTTTATTTTGTATTTGTGCTCTCTCAATGACTGAAACTGTGCCTAACACCATTCACAGGGAGATACAATAAGTACTTTCAGAATAACACATAAATGCCTAAATCATTCCTTGGAAACCAATAGTTGATAAGTAATTAGCACTGCCCTGTGGTACCCCTTTTGTGACAGGTACAGATAATGATTTAGTGCCATTAATCACCACACACTGCTTGCAGTCATATAGAAAGTCTTCTATCCACGCTAGGATATTTCCCCAAATACCGTACCCTTCCAGTTTGATTTTCAGCCTTTCATGGGGTACACTGTTGAAAGCCTTGGCAAAATCTAGGTATATGTTATCGATATTACCACCCCGTTCCAGAATATGGGTCCAAATATCCAATACTTTGAGCAATTGTGTTAAGCAGGAATGCCCCGGCATAAAACCATGTTGGCAATCCTCTACAAGGTTGTTTTGTAGTAGCTGTTCCATTACGGCATCTCTGATAGTACTCTCAAGTATTTTACATATTATGCTGGTCAGGCTCACCCCTCTATAGTTGTTCGTGGAGTGACGATCACCCTTCTTGAGTATAGGACTCGCATAAACCACTTTCCAATCACTGGGGACCTTTTGTTCATCCAGGCATTTACAAAACAGGATCTTTAGGGGCTCGGCAAGCTTGTTGCACAACTCTCTTAGCACTCTGGGATGCACAATGTCAGGGCCAGGACTCTTATGGACCTTCAGCTTTGACAGTTTATTTCTAATACCCTCTTCTGTGAACATAATGTGGGTCACTGCTGTGTCGAACCGTTTGTCACCAAACGCAGGAAGGTTAATCGCATCCTCTCCTGTGAACACCGAGGAAAAGAAGCTGTTCAATGTCTCGGCTTTATCCTAGTCAGAATCTGCGTAACTACCATCTTCAAGCCTCAGGTCTGATACTCCTACTCGCATTTTTAATTTCGACTTTGCATAGCGGTAAAACGCCTTTGGATTTGTCTTGACCTCACTTGCAACCAGCCTCTGGAACTCCTTTTCAGCCCTTCTACACCTACCTTTGCTTGTTTTCTGGCTCTTGCATACATCCTCCTGTCCTGCTCATCGCTTGACCCAACCTACCTCTTGAATTCTGGGTTTTCTTCTTAACTTTGTCGACCGCCGCATGGTTCATGTGTAGGGACCCCCTCATATTCCTAGAGGCACTGGGTTTGGTCTTGGGTATATATTTATAGATCAAATGGGTCACTTTACTAGTTATGATATTCAGCGTAGTGTATGTGTTCTTGTGCCTCAGTGAGTTGGGCCAGTGGATTCCCCTCATCCCATTGTAATTTCCCGTGTAATATTTGCACCTTGGCCTGGCCTTATCTTGAACTAGGTAACAGTTAAATCTGAATGACAACACTATGTGGTGACTGGTGCCAACTGGGGCAAGGTGTTCCAGTTTGGCCACCATACCCTCCTCATTTGTTATGATGAGGTCTAGTGGCTTGGGTGTTTGCTCCCCTCTGTAATGTGTCGGGTCTCTAACATGATGGAACAGAAAATTATCTCTCAGAGTTTCTAAAAAAAGAGTAACAGGGTTATTCAAGTCATTTGGGGTGAACTCGTTTTTCCAATCTGTGTTGCCATAGTTAAAGTACACATGATATGGAGGTGGCTAGGGTTGAGCATTGCTGCAGTGTCTATTAGTTCAGTTTTGATAAAGGATCGTAAATGAGTCATATCCAGCTATACTGAACTCTCATTCCTCTGGGTCAATTCTCCTGTTCTTGTACTATCAGGGGCCGGATACTCAAAAACATTTATGGGACTGTATGTCGTTGTGTACCCCGTAACTGGACTTACAGTCTCAGATTGGCATACTCAAAACAAATATTTGACATCGAACTCCGTAAGTTAAAGTGCGTAACTTACTCCAGCTCCTGAGGTTGTGTAACACTCTCAACCCGGATGTAGTAGTGACTAATTCCCTATTGTATAAAAAATAATAATAATATATGTTGTAATGTTGACTTGTTTTATCATAGAATAATGAAGAAAATATTTTGTACACCAACATGCTGAAATATAATATTTCACTTTGTCTTTTTCATAACTTTTTTGTTGCCATAATAAGCGGCTTGAGTGTTTGTATTTGTCTCAGTTTAGAAGAGACGCATCTCTTGTCTTCTTACAAATTATAAAGTATTTTTTACCAAAACAGAAGGTTTGTATTGTTCACACTTAGGGTAAAAATATGTTTTATGACTGAGTGAACTTGCAGATAGAACTTATTAATGTTGTATAGCCGTAAATATCCCTCAGTAATGAAAGCCAATATGAGGTCAAGTGAACATTCCTGCCAAGACTTCACCTGTTTTTCTAATATTCAACCAATAGTCTTAGCCTATTTTCTTATGTATATGGCTTATGATAACATGAAAGGCTATAAATTTCCATAGGCTAGCCAAAATTAAACGATATTAGGCGTAACATGTGGATTGCAATTAACTTGATTAATAGGGGCCTATATAACTCTTTTTCAGTCTTGGGCAAATAAATGTTTAAACGTGGGGCCTACTTAATTTAGTTGAAACATGAGGATTATTTAAATAAGAAATTATACCAATAGGTTATAGGTTAGAGAGGTTTGGTTTGGTTATGTTATGGTATGTTAGGTTAGAGAATGTGTACATGGGTTTTTGGTGAGTGTCAGGCCGTCAGTGAGACACTTTGTCTAGCAGCTACCTTAGGCCTAGTTCCAGACTTTCAACATTATCATAGGTAGAGTATTAATTGAAGAAAATTTACGGCTAATCCGATATATTTTCAGGTTTTAAATTGTTGTTTTTTGTATGAACTTGAACACAATTCAGACCAAATGTCCCCAACATTGAAAGGAAAACACCAGGGTCTAGGCTAAATGAGTAATTTAAGGGAAGTGATTTGTCATTTAGGTTCGGCAAAGCTATGCTATCAATAACCAATTTATTTGAATTTGCCCAGAATAGTGTATACGTCAGCTTCACTGAAATTAGGCCGTCTCTTCTTGGCTGGTGGTCCTTCCATGTTTACAAAATAATATTATGTGCGTCGCTCTCAGCTGATTTCTCCTTCTCTTGTGATTGGTTGATGATTTTGTTAACTGAGCGCTGATTGGCCAACTAGCTCCTGCACTGACATCTACCTTCCGACAAGAGAACTTAATTTACAGGGTAAACACTAGAGTTATGAATACTTACAAAAGGCTTACGGAACTGTAATTAAATTTTGAGTATGCTAAATTTACGGTACTGTAAAGATTCGACAATATATGGTACTGTATCATGCTAAAAGACGTAACTTATGAGGTGTTTTGAGTATCCGGCCCCAGTTCTACAACTCCTACAATATCTGGTTGGTGTACCTTCAGTAGTGTTTCAAACTCCTCTCTCTTATCAAGAAACATGTCAGAATTAGTGTACATAACATTCGAGCCAGAATTTGTTCTCGGTAATGTGTCTGCTCTTAGTAGCAACACCCCCCCCCCCCATTCTCAAAAGCTGCAGCATTTGCTAAGTACACTGTATGTCATTGTTTACACCGTGCTCGCCTCCTCCCGGGTGGGGGGTAGAGCGGGTGGAGGGTGCGCTGTTGACACACTTGCTTCCACTATCCTCTCCCCGTTCCTCCTCGACTCATCCCTTCTCTGTTTCAAGCCCTGCAGGAGCTTCCTGTGCTGTTCCCTCTGCATTACCGTGCATTCTGGGTGAATGAATACACTCCAAGATGCCTCGCTCCTTGCTAAGTTTTTTGCCTGCCAAATAACCTTCCATTTCTCCTCCTCACTCACTAGTGTGATCCTGAGGGGACCAGGCTTATCTCCCTGCTGTTGTCCCAGCCTCCTCACATCCTGGAGGGTTGATGGCATTTTCAGAACCTCTGTACAAATATTCTTAAACTACATCTTATCGTGTGTTATCTTACTCTAAGTTCCCTCCGCCTGGCTCTCAGGGACTCCAAAAACTATTACATTGTTCCTGCGCTGGAAACGTTCCAGTTGTTCCTCCTCTCCCCTAACAGTAGGTCCGTTAATTTCCATTTCTTCGACACACTGCTTCAGGGTTCCTAGCTGCTGTAAAACCTGTTCTGATCCTAAATTACTCTCCGCCACCTCTAGTAGCCCTGCTAATGCCTTGGCATAATTTCTCTTAACAACTACCTCCATTATATCGGCTACTTCCTCAGTCTTAGCAAGGATCTCTTTCCCAACTTGTCGTAGTTTGGCAACCAGCAAGGCTCTAGCGTCATCTATTTTCGTCCTTAGGGAACTCGTTCCCCTTTGGCTTGCAATCGCCTCTTTCACCTTGACTATGCAGTCAGGGCAATACCAGCAACAGCCTTCATGCTTTACAGCAGCTTGCATCGTCCTAAATGTTGCATTAGTCAGGCCTGTATCATCCATATCTGTTATCCCCGCATTAATCTCATATCATACTCATGGTTGTTGTTGTTGGGAGGGGGGGGGGTGCAGACTATGTATAGATCTACATTTATTTAAGAATAAAGAAAAAAAACAGTACTTAGCTGCCCTCTGCTGGTTTTATCCTCCCCTGTTGCCTTTAGGGTTGTCTTCTCTTATTTTTTTTTCAGTTCACTTCTGCAATTTGTCAGTATTTACGTGCTATCTCTATGTACACTGCATTTTGCTATGACTAATGGATTTTATACACCCTTTCAGTCCTTAAGAAACCCAGAAAAATAAAATAAATCTTTCTTTGGGGCAGTAATAGAATGCCTTTTAGGATAGCCAAACTTGTTGATTATATTTTTATTTTTTTATTTTAACTATTATTTCCTTATACTACAGTACTTTCTTTTCCCGTTCTCGTCTATATCTCTTGGTGCTATCACTGTGTACACTGTATCTCCCTGTGAATGGTGTATTGTAGGCACAGTTTCAGTCCGTGAGAAAACACACAAACAAAATTTTTGACCAAATATACTTTTCTCTCAGAATTGGAATTTAAGAGGTTTAACTAATTAGGTACATCCAGAATAACACACACACACCTAAATCTCACCTTGGAAACCCATAGCTGGCGAGTAATTAACATTGTGAACCTTGATATTTTTTTAATTACCAGTTGGGATCAGGAGACTTTATGGAGAGATGAGTGATCCAGAGACCATTAGCCTGGTCCAGGGGTCAGCAGTCTGTTGGTCTTAGGACCAGTATTAATCTGGTCTAGGGACCCCCTTTATTTTTCTAAGTTAGTGTAATGTCTGAAATGTTTAGCCTAATTATAGGTCAAGGATAAGTTGTCATAATTTATTTAGTATGGATCAGGAAGCTAAATTTAGGACTGTAGTTAGCCTGATTAAAACTGCACAGCTTGTTACCTCAAAATACCATGTGCGTTGGGTATGTGTGGCTTCCCTCACAGGTTCACTGTCAAATCTCTCATCTGGAAGTTTTTGACCAGAGAACTGGAAGAGAATTCTCTCTGGAGGAAAGAACTTCAGATGACCCTTACCTCTTAGCTCAGAGATCAGGTTATTTTGCTAGGAGGTGCCTTTTGCTTGGACCAGCATTAGTTGTGCAGAGAGGTACTGGTAGCCTATGGGATGGTCGTGCAGCAACAAGTGTTTAATAAAGTCATCATACAAGTTTATATTTGTTCATCATGTACTACAAATACACAATGTAAGTCCACTAAACCAAGGATAATTTAGGGAGGACATCCAAAGATTATTTCCATTAAAGTATGGGATAAATAAATCGTTAGTTAGTCATTAAAATTACCATCCAAGTTCACATTGGCTCTTGTGTTGTGAAGGTGTAAATATTAACTAACTCCTTGTAATTCTGCACTAATACACTTGTCACATGCATACATACACACCATTGTTAAGTATTTTATCTAAGTGCCATACATATGGTGTATCTTGATATTTCTGTAATAAGTTGTACTTGACACAGGAGGAGACGTCTGGTCCTGCAGCAACACAGCACAGCACCTTATATCACGGCTCCTGTACAGAAGAAAACTTATCTACTGATTCTTGGCAGATTATGTTACCATTTGAGGTGAACTGAAGCCTTGATGTAATAGTGATTGAAGACTACAGTACAGGAGGAGAGAGAGTGTTATCTGGCATTGGTATTAGAATAGTTAGCAACTGTGTGTTAGTAACTTACAGGGTTCAGTTTAACACAGATAGGCTCATCATATATTTTAATAAAGTACAGGTATCCCCCAAGATACTTACAGTATGTCCAATAAATGAACAATCATTATTACAAAAATATCAGTTTGACTTGACAAATTCCCCTCAGTCACACGGTCAGTATAGCCCAGTGGTGCATTGGCACTATTGCAGAATGTTGGTTGTGTTTAATGTATTTATTATTTTACAAGAATTATATTGGTGGAAAACCCACCAGTTGACTGATTTTTCCCTCCCAGAACATAATACAAGAGTTCTACCATTCAATATGTTTTTTTAACTTAGAACCCTTAGTGCTATACAGTATGTTAGAGGATACCTGTACATGTAAATTAATGTACAGTACTGTAGGTTCACCTGTTGGGGAAGTGAAGGCAGTGTTAATCACAAGGTTCAGTATACAGTATCTACACTGCCCTTAATGGACCATCATGCTTGTGTGGATTAACCAAACACTACTTAACAAAGTACATTTATGTTGTAGTGGAAAAATAATTAATTTGCAGAACTTGACATGAAGTATTTATGTAAAATGATTCAATGTGTACATAATGTGAGGTGCCTGGTGGAAGAGTGATGTATGTGCCAAGACCACAAGCAAGGTTAAAGTTTGTTTACACTGTATCCCACCACACTTATAATTTTATACTGTATATCCTCTGGCAACTGTTGAAACAAACATCTTGCTTGACCACTAACTCGCTTCCACCGAGTGCCTCATACATTTGTGTTTTTCACAACTGTATTGTACTATATTGTATTGTACTGTATTATATTGTACTGTACTGTACTATATTACTGTATATTGTATTGTATTGTACTGTATTAGTATATATTGTACTGCACTATATTGTACTGTATTATATTGTATTGTACTGTACTATATTGTATTGTACTGTACTATATTGTACTGTACTGTATTATATTGTACTGTATTGTATTGTACTGTACTATATTGTATTGTACTGTACTATATTACTGTATATTGTATTGTATTGTACTGTACTATATTGTACTGTACTGGTAATATAATAGTACTGTAATTTATAATAGGATTGTACTGTACTATATTGTAATTGTACTGTATTATATTGTACTGTATTGTATTGTACTGTACTATATTGTATTGTACTGTACTATATTACTGTATATTGTATTGTATTGTACTGTACTATATTGTACTGTATTATATTGTATTGTACTGTACTATATTGTACTGTACATTATTATATTGTACTGAACTATATTGTATTGTACTATATTGTACAGTACTGTACTATATTGTATTGTACTGTACTATATTGTACTGTACTGTATTATATTGTATTGTACTATATTGTACTGTATTATATTGTACTGTACTATATTGTATTGTACTGTACTATATTATATTGTACTATATTTATTGTACTGTACTGTACTATATTGTACTGTACTGTACTATATTGTAATGTACTGTATTATACTGTACTGTACTATATTGTATTGTACTGTACTATATTGTATTGTACTGTACTATATTGTACTGTACTGTATTATATTATACTGTTCTATATTGTATTGTACTGCACTATATTGTACTGTACTGTACTATATTGTACTGTAATATATTGTACTGTACGATATTGTACTGTACTGTATTGTGTTGTACTGTATTGTGTGGTACTGTACTATATTTTATTGAACTGTACTATATTCTATTATACCATACTATATCATATTGTACTGTACTGTACTATATTCTATTATACTGTACTATATTATACTGTACTGTTCTATATTGTTTTGTAGTATATTGTATTGTACTGTATTTTATTGTACTGTACTATACTGTATTGTAATGTACTGTTCTGTATTATACTGTTTGGTCCTGTACTGCACTCCAGCCACTCCTTGACTTACGAGGGGGTTAGGGACCCAAATCCAGGTCGTAAGTCGAAAATGAGAAGATAATACTTAGAAAATCTCAAATGGGTGTCTCTTTTTCTTCTCAGCACCACAAAACTGATTTTTAAGCATGCCAGACATTTTGGAGGGAATTACAAACGAAGATTTTGTCAGTACACAGCGCAATCACTAAAGTCGGGACTCGAAAATACGTATTTTGAAAAAAATTAGTGCGACCGAGGCGGTTGTATGGCCAGTAGGTCGTAATTTGAGGAGTAGCTGTATACTGAGCCTTGGGTGCCTTGAAGTGTACCAACTATGTATAGTCTTGGGTGCCAGAATTGTGCATGTCATGTACCAAGGCTATATATTGGGTGCCAAAATTGTGATCCAAGGCTATATAGTCTTGCATGCCTAGAAGTGCTCATTTTTTGTACCTAGACTATATAGCCTTGGTGCACTTTTACGAATACTACTTTTTTGTTTTCACCTTTCTAGTTTTTTGTTTCACTTCAGTTAATTAATCTATTATTAAAGTAGTTTTGAAGAAGATTACAGGGGGCCCCCAGTTTACGAACAGGTTCCATTTCTGACGACATTCTTAGTCGGATCACGCGCCATGAGCATACCATACTTACAGAACAATGTTTAAAATCACACTAAATCATAGCCTAAGTCCTTATATACATCTAAAATCAATTAATTTAAGACAAAAAAGAAATAGATTGACAATACAGTAAATGAAAGTAAAAAATGTCATCTGATGAAATATTGTAAGTTTCAAGTTTAACACCGTTCATATCGGCCGTTTATAAGTCGGGGACTCCCTGTACTTTGTACAAGTTTTAATTTTTACTTAGTAACAGTACAGTACTTTATCTTAAGTAATATTTTTATATACTTTCTCCCCCACTGGCTGAAATGGTCCTGAATTGAGCTGGACCTGCAGTGAACTAGACCTGAAGTTAACTGGACCGTAATTACTATCTGGTATTTTATTTAATATTTTCTGGTACTTTTAATATTAGAAAGGTTATACAGACATCCCTCAGTTTATAAAAGTTTTGTTTCTGAGAAACCTTTAGTAAATGACATAAATTTTTCCAGACTCCCATTATAAAAGCCAAGATACTTTTCTGCGATGAAAATACTTCCCCCAAATGATGTACTGTACACAATGATTATAAGCCACTATAGGAGGAGCTCTACTGATGAATGAGTTATGTTTTGGAGGTTTGTTTGTGAGTCCAACTTTACTCATGTAGATGTCCAGTACAGTGACCTGTAAGTTGTCCTTTGAAGCTCCAATTTGTTTGTTTAAAACTAGGAGTCGTCTTATACAACGGGTATACAATGTCGATCTCTAAATACGCTCCACCACTAGCATCAGATTTTCACTGTGCTGTACCAGCAGGTCTCGGTCACTTAATTTCCAGCACTCATAAACAAGTTTTACCTAACTGAAGCATTTTTCCAGAAGAGTAACTGTTGCTGAACTCTGCTTGGGTTCAGTGTTTACACTAGTCACATTATGGGTGTCCTTACACACCGACACATTTCAAAATATTAAAATATCTTTCGGTGTTAACTGCAATTTCTTACAAACAAACGTTACTGGGACTGTTACTTGTAATATTTGTTGTTAAATTTAAAAACAATGCAGTTATTGTATATTGATATAATGCTCCAGGATTTTATAAATGTTTACATGAATGTGGTGTAAATTTGTTAACAAGACAGGCACCTGGGAACAGCTGGCTGGCCTGCAGCAGCTCGGTCAGTGAATGTCACTAGATTTATTGGCCAAGTTGCTAAATACAAAAAAATGTGAAGAAATACTATTACATATAAGACGTTATCTAACACGAGATAATTGTTAACACTGGCTTGGTTAAATGCCCCGAAAACTGTCAACTAGGTACGGTACGGAGTCTTTAGTTATGAGGTGAAAGAAGATTGTTAGGGGTTGAAGGAAAAGTGGTGAAACTGAAATAAAGTAGGAGTAGAAAGAATCTGGGCTCAACCAGATCACTTCATCTTTCCTATTGGTGTTTTATCTTTGTTCTGCTCCCTTGGGTCGTCAGACCTTTGTATTAATATTGGTTTATTTATATAGTGCTGCTTATTATTATTATTTTTATTTATCTAGGAGGTCAACATATGAATGACCACTCTCTCTGTTGTACAGTAGTCAGTATACTGTACATTATGTTCACACAGACTCAAGTGCTAAGTACCATAGAATGTTGATGCACAGCTGACAGTTAATGGTCACTTTCCTATCTGTGTACAGTACAACTGTTAGTACAGTGTATTTCCATATAGATATTCAATGAACAAATAATTGATGGGTCTTATCCCACAAAGAGTAGGTTAAGACAATATGAAACTCATCTTAATTGTGAAGTTAAACAGATTATAAGGATCGTCAGTTCATTTTCCTTCAGAACATTAGTGAAAATTATTTTTGGATCACCTCTCTGGCTTATTTAACCTTAAGATTAACCACCCTAACCTTACCTAACTTACTTAGTGTTAAGATGCTTAATCATCAGGTGATATTAATTGGGGGCTAATCTTCATGTGATCTTTGGTTTCTCTATCAAGCTCCTCAGATCAGCCATCACACCAGACCGGGACCAGGAACAGGACCTGTACGAGAGAAGGAATACTGTGGTCTACCTTGCAGTATGTTATTGAGTTAGTTACTTTACAGTAGAAGTAAGTGGCCACACCAGTACTGTACTTAACAGATTATTTAACTATGTTGAGTTTTGGTGTTGCTGTGTTATTTGAACCTTTCTATAGATTTGTAAACTGACTAATGACTTTAGACGGTGTTTAAGATTAGGTTTCTAACAGTTAAAACTGTGGTTAAGTTGTGTGGAAGTGAGACAATGACTTAGCACTATGCTGAAGGTGTTTAAAAGTGAGAAAGTGACTTTTAGTGAAGTTTGTAGAAGTAAGGATATTAGTTTAAAAAATTGTGTATGGGAGAAAATGACTAATTACCTTCATGAGATTTAGAGTATAGTTTAATTTTTATACAAGAAGTTGGAGGTCAATACTGTAGGCGTAATATTTTTTAGGGATTAAAATTCTTCATTTTCCGCGGATCATTTACAGTGAAAGGTACAGTACAGAGTGAGAGAAGGCTGGTTGTATATTAAGGTTGAGAGAGGAAAGGCTGTACTGTACTAAGTTAATGGATAGGGAAGACTGCTGGATGTATGACTGATGAGTATTACAGTAAAGGAGGGAAAGCTGTTGAGTGTATGACTTAAGATAATACAGTACTGAAGTTGTATGAGCAAGAGAAAAGGCTGGTGATGTGAATTAAAACTGTGCTGAAATAATGTATAATTGAGGGAAACTTGACTAGAATGTAAGATTTACTGTACTGAAGCAGATAAAGAGTGAGGGAGGACTGTAGACTAGACTGAAGTTTTATACAAGTGAAGGAAGGATTTGTATTACTTAATCTGCACTGGATTTCTTTCTTTCTTTCGTTTCTTCCACATCTAGGTTAGGTTTTATTTCATCAGAGCCAACCATAAAGAGAGTCATCTATTAACTGTAGCTGACCCCACCATAGTTTCAACTGCAGCTGACCCCAACATGAAGGATATTTCATCTATCAA